TCTGGCGAATTCCTCAGTTGGTCACAGGCCTGAGCAGCCAGGACTTCAGCACCTATACTTGTCCGAAGCAGAGAGAAGAAGACGTGATAGGCGTCCCCTGTGACATCACTCATCCTGGCTCTCCGCTGTGACATCACTCATCCTGGCTCTCTGCTGTGACATCACTCATCCTGGCTCTCTGCTGTGACATCACTCATCCTGGCTCTCTGCTGTGACATCACTCATCCTGGCTCTCTGTTGGACACCCTACTTACCGGAGAATACAGTGACTTACCACCTGAGCAATAATAAGCACGCCTCTCAGAAATGCTTTTACCAAGTTCAGCCAGTGCTGGTTTATATATTTACACAAAAACTCAGAATGACATTTGCATTAATATGTGGGCTACTCTGACTGCCTGAAGTGCACCAAAACTGTATCCAAAAAAAACACCAAAGAAATTTAGAAATAGGGTCATTTTATATTAGTGTCATTCAGTGGAGGTCACATGGAATTGTTCATGCCTAGTGTCCAAGGATGCTACATTTTTCACTTATTTTGGTTAATCAAAGCACATAAAATGAGAGACGGCCACTGACTGACCCATCCTCCACAGAACCAAATTCCAGAATCTCCCATCGGCCACCGGGTTTGTGTCTGGAGAAAGCTATTTACACTCGTACTTCCACCTCTATGGAGGATCTGTCTGGAGCAATCCATCCTGCTTCTGCAATCTTGTTTACATTTTAACATCAAAATATGTTTCATCTTATTTTTTTTTTTGGTTTCTTCTATAGAGCTCAGTTGAAGCGGTCCACATGCATTTGCAGAGCCGATTTACTGGAGAAAAATCACTTTATTGTGTTAGGAGTCTGGTATTTCCTCCAGTCAGCAGTGGGTTTCACACCAATGTTTAGTTCGGGGAGTGATTGAGTGATTCAAGTGATTAATGCCAGTACTTAACAGGGACAAAATATATTTTTAATGTCACGCTTCCAGTATAACTGGGTCAGCTTGGTCGACTCAGGAGTTTGCCTTACTGACAATATTTTGCCTAGAAAAACCGACCTGTATAGTCTAGCTTGAATTCCTTGCTTCTAGTTCAACTCCACCAGTCCTATTGCGAGAATTTACCAAATCTTCATTGTAAAGCGGTTACATTTCTAATCACATCCCACAATATTTTATGCCATCAGTATGTAGAGCAAGTAGTTTTTTTTACATTTAATATTTACCAACAGTGACTATAATATACCCAACCTATGTTACATATATTATCAGCTATAAATAAATCTCTATTAGCCAAACGCAGTTCTCTTTACAGTGCTGTACAAAATAAAGCTACATTTTATTTAATGGCTCTATACTGGAAATAACCTTTATTGCACATTGAATTTTATGATATACGATGTGGTTTTTACTATATTAGATACACCAAATGAAGAATGTTGGGCCTTTTTAATTCTTTGCTTGTGAGTAAGGACTACCAAAGATTGTAAAACATGTTATACCTTAATTTATTTCTAACCGTTGTAAACTTTGTTTCAGATGTCAATCTGAAACGTGTTCGAAAACTTCTATGCACATCATGTATGTTTTGTATCTGGAATGTTTCAGATCTCTGCACCGTATCTTATTAGGGCGCTGGCTTGCTCAATTTTTTTTTAATTGCGTTTCTTTTGTGATTGTAACATTTTAGAAAACAGTAGAATATACTGTCATTTTTATCCATGTAGAGCGCTATAGAAGTTGATTGGACACGCTCTCTGCCACGTGTATTCTTGCATGCGCGCTCACTGTGGCTGCCTCGCACTTGTTGAAACCCTCACAAGTTTCACTTTTGAGTTTGTGTGCTGTAACGTAAAGGTGGCACTCAAAGCCATCTAAAGGTAGATCGACAGCTGACATTGGTGTTGTCCAGGAACCAGCAGGTTGCTGTCATTAAAGAGACTTGATGTGCTGTGTGCTGAGGCCGATGGTGAACTTCAGATGAAAGATGACGAACATGTATGTGCAAGCAGTGGGTTAACGATCATTGATGATAGCTATCGTTAAAACTGTCACTATGCTCTTGATATCTTTGCGCAGTAACATTTCCCAGCTTTGTTAGGCATAGCTATTTGTCCGTGCTCTTCATTTGGATCATTATGCGATACATTCTGCCACTAGGAGCTATCGTACAGGTATATGTTTTCAGTCATAAATCCAGAAAACCAAAGAAAGATCCGGTGTTGAAAAGGTAGATAGACCTCTGTGTCGACGTGACATATCTGGCAAGTGCTTAAGTCTGTAGTTTGGTAGCAGTTACTTTTCTCATTTGTTGAGCAGATTAAAAATGTTTTGTGGAAGATAAAGGTCTGTAAAGTCCAGGAATTTCATTTTGCTTTGACTGTGTACAGATGGAGCTCTTTTTTATCAAAGTGGATTTTTGGCTCTGTCTTCAGTGGTCTGAAACCTTCCAAATGATCCTGCAGTTCAGTCGATGGGCCACTCAGTGCGTTTGTACACATATACAGTACATCACTCTTGAGTTTGTTCCAGCTGTAGATCTCATAATCACTTGGAAAGTCATTCCGTAGAGTCTTGATAAGCATGCATGCAGGTGTCATGCAAATTCGCTCATGCTAGAAACGTTAGCCATTTGTACGTCTTGCCATTGAACCGTCCTCTCGATGTACAGCACGCGGTCATCTTTTTTCAGCCATACTCTGAATGTAGACTCTTCAAAGATACATTACTCCCTACTGTAAATAGACAACTGCTGAACTCTGTATAAAAATATCCACATCCTTTTTTGTAGGAGCATTCAGTTAATAGCATAAAGGTGTTTTTATGAACTGCATCAGTTGTCTGTCATGCTTTTGTTCTTCTGAGGCCTTCTATTAATATATTAAAAGCCAAAGTTGTAAAAACATTGTATTCTACTACTGTAATATTATATTTTTTAAGTATTACAACTATGTTGTGCTGATGAAACTGAATATATGTTCGTTTCATACGTCAGCAGAGAAACAGTAATTTGAAACCCTTTTTGGTTCATTAGACAAGCAATAACATTCTTCAGAAACTTCAGGTCTGTTTTTTGAGTATTGCAGTTTGATTCATTGTATTTCTATACTTAAATTTATTATCTGTCTGTGTTGCTGTTTTTCCCGTCAGACGCAAAGGCTTGTACCTATAAAACTTTAGCAATAAATAGCAAATATTCCCACAGGAGACTGCCGTTTATTTTGTTGGGCATCTTCTAAAGGTTGCACGCCCCCTGCTGTTCAGTCTGGCTCGGATCAGTTTGTTAGCATGATGAGGTTATATAATAGGATTCCTTGGCACCGTCAGGAGGGAAAAAAATGCAGTCTTTATTGACCCGAAAAAGTTCTGGGCAAGCAGAGTCTATGCTTATGGTCTAATGGCATCCTAAAAATGATTATACAATTTATAACCAAAAGAAAACACTGATCACTTATCAACATGTACCAATCAAACTCATCTACATATATCTGTTTGACTTATCCTTAATTTTAGTAAGACACGCACATACATACATACATCTTCCAGTGACTTATCCAGTACAGGGTACTGTACTGTACAGTATTACAAAAACATTATGAAAATACAAAAGCTAATCAGATCTGTGACCCTCAATTAGATGTACGTTATTATAATGATAACCATCAGTGAATAAAACTAAAAGCAGAAATGATTACAATAATTATAACTGCTGCCCAAAGGAAAGATGAGTTGTTCTTTGTAGCTGGTAGAGATGGTTCTTCAGCCTGTAATACTGTGTAGGAAAGGTCGCTAATGTTCACATCACCAAACAAGTATGTGTCTTCATTTTAAGACAATTTGAATACAGAGATATGGTCACCTTGATAAAATAATAAAATGTCAGATTGCTTTCCATGCTGTTTACACCACAAACTCATTTCCAAAACCTAGTCCCTTGAGGTTATTAAAGATGAAGAATACATGGTGAAACCTCTGTACACCTTTTACAGCAGGAACATTGTATTAAACATCATTGCCCATTTGGGTTTTGCTTGTAAACTGGATTTTAGTTATTAAACCTGTTATCATCTATCAAAGATCTGAGAAAAGGAAGAGGGCTGAAACCCATTCTATCCTTGGTCAAAACAAAACTTTCTGTTTGTTTTCTTAATTCTACAAACCACTGTGGTCTCACCAAACCCGCCTCCGCTCTGCGTGTGAGTGGAGTTTGCATGTTCTCTCTATGTCACGTGGGTTTCCTCCCACGTGTGGTTATTATTGTGTGGGTGCACATGTCTGTGTGTGCCCTGTCTTGGTTGTACCCCTGCTATGCCCGATTCTGCCTGTTGGGAGCTTGGTGTGGCCCAGCAGGTCAGGATGCCGTTGCTGTGACCAGAAGGTTGCTGGTTCAAATTTTCTTTCTAAGAAAATGTATGTCATTCCTGTAACTCTGACCAGCAGTTGAAAGAGGGATGAATTGACTGACTACTTCCTCATGCCTCAGCTAAATCTTTCTCAACATGTAAGATTTACATCTGGGCCTTGAAACGCAGTTCGACTGTTCACTTTCTGCGGAGACCATTACCGGGACCGAAAACACAGTCATGGTGTGTCCTTAAATCACTGATGTCATGTCAATGCTGTTTCTATGGGAACCATACTCGGAGGAGGGGCCCGAGGGGCCACAGTATGACTAGTGGCATTCTAATAGGCCATAATAGGAGAACTTCCTCCTGCAGGACTGTACAGGGCTTCTGTGTTCAGGCAAATAAGTCGGCAGATATCACAGAGCAGTCAGTCACCATCAGGCATTGAGCAGAGCAAAGGACCCTCATGCTTCATGGCTTTTGTGAAAACTGATAAAAAAGCAAATGCCGTCCATCTTTCCCAAGGCAGATGCCATTTTCTCTCCCCCCATCCCGCCAACGCCACCGGAAACAAACAAAAACAAGGAGCTGATAGTTATGCCCCGTTGCTAGGC